ACTCCTTCACTGGCAGTTGGTGTAATTCTAATGGTAAAAATTCTGTAGGTGGTGATGGCAGGGATTGTGAATGGGAAATTCTGTTCAGCACCACAATTGAAAAGGTGATGTCTGCATTTGGAAAGGCATCTGTGAATTTTCAATATCAATCCTTTTACCGTCAATTTCAGAGGCAGAAGATGCTTTCCTCAAAAAGGAGAAGGTGCAGAAAGAGGTGAAAGCTGCACTGACAGAAAATGCCACGCTGAGCTGCGAGGTGGCCCAGGAGAAAACGGAGGTGAAGTGGTACAAGGATGGCAAACTCATCACCTCCAGCAAGAAGTTCAAGGTGGAGTCTGAGGGCAAATCGCGTCGCCTGTTGGTGGGTCAGGTGGAGAAGAAAGATGCTGGGGAGTACACCTGTGAGGCTGCTGGCCAAAAACTCACCTTCAAGATCGATGTCACAGGTGGGAGAAGATTCTTTGTCCCACCAGTCTTATTTCTAGAGTCTTTAAAAAAATTAACATTATTTTTTAAATCTTCTTTGTGTTACGCTTCAAATTTTTGAGAGTCCATCTTTAGCATGGCCTAGGATGGGTACAAATACAAGACCGATTTTCTTCATTTAGTCTTCATAAAACATTTAAAATCCTTATAAGAGGGAGCTGAATCCCAGGGAAATTTTGGAATCTACAGATCACTGGAGGGAAAGAGCTGTAAAAAAGAAGATACTGGCTGTGCATCTGCTTCTCTCTTGGTGCAACAAGAGCAGATCTTTACCACAGCTCGTTCTCAGTGCAGGGTCATGGTGGAGAGCCTGCCCAATGTCCATACTCCTTTTCTTTCCCTTGGAAGTGCTCGTTTCAGCCTGAGGGAAGTAATGGAATTAGGGCTTGATCGAGGTGTATCGAGGTCTTTAACTTGTCAAGAAAATGGCAGGTAAGGAAGGAAGGTGTCATGGAGGCTCATTCCAGTTGTATTTTCCTACTGGGGCTGTAGAGAGGTAGAATGGATTCAATTTCCCAGCTCCCTCACAATTTCCCAATCCAATTCCAAGTGGTGTGAATGATGTGTCTTCTGGGGAACAAGGGGATTTCACCATTTGTATGTGAGATGAGCTGAGCTTTTCCCCAGGTTGCACAAGAACAAATAACAGGGTCCTGGACATGTCATTGCTGGTCTAGCACTTTTCTCATTAAACAAAATGATCTAAGAAGCAGCAGAATCAGCTTTTGAGAATCAAAAAATCAATTTTATGGGACTATAAGGCAGCAGCTTCCTCTAAAAATTTGATAGTTTGCAGTTAACTTCAACCAAAACATGTCCTGACTTGACTTGGTCCTGCTAGACTATGTTCTTATGAACCATGGAGAGATTATTGCTGTCAAAAAACCCAAAACAGGCAAAAACCCACCACAAAGTCCTTGACATCGTATTTTGTAGAAATTCTGGATATCTCTCTCTTTCCAGAGCCAGAAGTTGTGTTTACAAACAAGGAGAAGGTGCAGAAAGAGGTGAAAGCTGCACTGTCAGAAAATGCCATGCTGAGCTGCGAGGTGGCCCAGGAGAAAACGGAGGTGAAGTGGTACAAGGATGGCAAACTCATCACCTCCAGCAAGAAGTTCAAGGTGGAGTCTGAGGGCAAATCTCGTCGCCTGGTGGTGGGTCAGGTGGAGAAGAAAGATGCTGGGGAGTACACCTGTGAGGCTGCTGGCCAAAAACTCACCTTCAGGATTGATGTCACAGGTAGGAGAAGGTCATGTGGTTTTTCAGAATTCAGTAGAGGACAATAAAGCAATAATTGAAATAACTATTCCACCGTGACTCAGTTGCAATAGTCTGGGTTTTGTTGCAGCCTGCAGGGTTCACCTGATTTTCTGTACTTGGTTGCCTGGATTTGTAGAATTTGGCTTTAGCATGGTGCAAGTTCTGTCTCATTCTTAGCACGTTTAATAGTTGCAGTTATAAATACAGTGGAAATAATTATTGTTCAGATCCCTTCCATTCCCAGGATCCCAAAGGGTGATTCTTGTACACTCAACTTCTGGAAAGGAAGGAGCCATTGCAGAATCCCTGCCTTGTTAGTCTTGCATTCTCATTTAGGCGGACTTAGAGGCTGGAATATATTTTGTCATTTGCAGTGTCAGCAGCAGCACATCTCAAGATGGCTTATAAACATAATTTTTTTCTGAATTTGGGCTGTTGTGTGATTGAGATCTCAGTATTTTGTGATGTCTTACTATTCCTGCCAGGTGCTAAATGCCCCTTTTCTGTGAAATATTCCAAGAAATTGCTTTATTGCATATGAGATCTTCAGTAGAAGGAATCTGGGAGCTTATAGTGATAAACAGGACAGATGTTCCTTGGGAAAGTTTGAATTAAATATATTTTTACCTGGTGACTTGGAGCTGTAGGGTTGATGCCAAGGCTTCTCTTGGTCCTTTCCATTCCTGGGCTCGTAGTTCCCAATTTTCCAAGTGGCATCTCCATCCCACAGAAGGATAGACATCACTCAGTGATGGCAGTTGGTTTTGGAAAGTGACAACCTAAATATTTTCCAAACCCCTGCACAGAAATCTGTAAGATTAATCTCATTTTAACCCTTCAACAATTATTTTCTTCTTTTTCTGTGCTCAGAGCCCAAACCTGCATTTATAAACCAGGAGAAGGTCCAGAAGGAGGTGAAGGCTGTCCTGACAGAAAGTGCCACCCTCGTGTGCGAGGTAGCGCAGGATACAACCGAAGTGAAGTGGTACAAGGATGGAAAACTGCTCGTTTCCTCTCGGAAATTCAAAATAGAGACCGTGGGCAAGTCCCGGCGCCTGGTGGTAGAGCAGCTGGAGAAGAAGGATGCTGGGGAATACATCTGTGAGGCTGCAGGCCAGAAGCTGACCTTCAAACTGGAACCAACTGGTGAGTGCCCACTTTGTGGTGTGAAGAGCCAGTCCCTAGGACTGGAATATCCAGTCCCTAGGAAAAACATCCAGTTTTAGAGGAAAACCTGATATTCCTGACACAGCAGCCTTGGCACAGCCACTGTCTCTCCTGGAGAAACACCAGTGAACCACATGACACATTAATTCTTAATGTTGCAGTGCAGAGGTGGGAAATTTGCACTTTTTTGGGAGTGTGGAAATGCTACATAGCTTTTTGCTTACCTCTTTCACAAGCTGTATCACCCAACCTCTTTCAATGGTGGGGAGCTGAAAGTAGAAGTGGGGGGTTTTGAGGAGCAGCAGTGGAACTGTGGAGAAAAGTGACTCAGAGAAACTGGTCTGCTGCTTGTGTGTGCCCCAAAAATGCCTGATTTTGTGACAAAGGGTCGTACAAGATAGAAAGGAGGCCAAGAAGAAGGGACTGGAATCACAGAATGGTTTGGGTTGGAAGGAACCTTGAAGATTGAGTTCCAGCCCTCCTGCCAGTGGAGCAAAGAGAAAACAGGCCATAAATTCAGCCTATTAATGTTTCTTCTTAATTTTATTTAAAATCCTAAAAATGAGAGGGGAAAGAAAATTATATAGATATTTTTACTTCTAAGGGACAAGCTTTTTATGGCAGCAGATAAAATATAAATATTTGCATTTCCTTTCTTCTGCTTCTTTTCTAAGCAGAAGCTCTGGATTGTCTGAGAGACCATTTACTTTTTCCTGCTCAGAAAAAGGTTATACCATCCACAAACATTCAGCCATATTCCCTGGATTGTTACAGGTTATGGATGAGCTGGTGGTGTGAGTCCTGAAGAGGGAGTAATATAAAACCACTATGTCAAGGATTTGAGCATAAAGTTTTTAATTTTCCTGGTTTATTGTCTTTTCTAGAACCAGAGGCTAAATTTGAAAATAAAGTTGTCCAGAAAGAGCCTCTCGTTGTTCAAGAACACGAAAGCATCACACTGACAACCTCAGTCACGCCAGAAACCTCTGCAGTGAGGTGGTTCAAGGATGGCACAGAAATCAAAGCCAGCAAGAAATGTGTGATCAAGAGTGAGGGGGCATCCAGGACGCTGACGGTGAACGCGGCCGAGAGCACGGACTCTGCCCTCTACACCTGCCAGACAAAGGATGACAAGCAGGAATTCAGAGTCCAGGTGAAAGGTGAGCAGTGACCCCAGGTCGTGGCCCATCCCAACAGCTGCACTTCCCTCGTGGTGGAATGGAGGTGAAATCCAAACTCTTCTGAAAACTGTTCCAACCTCAAGGCTTGTTGCACCTTCTCTGGATGCCCCACCATGGGTCAGCAAAGTTCTCCATCTTCCAAATTTCCAGTTTCTGTCTTTTGCTGGCCAATTTGGATCATGGAAGCCTATGATGGGTACTTCTGGTAGTTGCTCCCCTCCCATTTTTGTATCCTCCTATAGAATGGCAGGGATCTGAAAATACCACGTCAAAGGAAGCTGCCTGAATTTCCATGTTTCTGGTTAGATTTTTGTCTCCCTTGAGCCCCAAATATTTAGGGCCATTTTATTTATTTATTTATTTATTTCCAAAGTTGGGCAGAACCAGTTTCTTAGAACGGCTTTCTTCCCTTTTCTTCCCTCGCAATTTTCCCTTCTCCTGGATCTCAGAAATCCCGGTGAAGTTTGCCAAGAAGCTGGAGGCCGTGAAAGCCGAGATTGGTGGCAGTGTGTCCCTGAGCTGTGAGCTGAGCCACGCCAAGGGGAAGGTGACGTGGAGCAGGAATGGGGTGGAGATCAAGCCCAGCAAGCGTTTCCAGATCCGTGAGGAGGGAATCAAACGAACCCTGACAATAACAGGGATCCGGGCTGAGGACGAGGGAGAATATTCCTGCGAGTCCAGGGATGACAAGAGCAGCATCAGCATTGTCCCCAAACGTAAGTCTCTAATGGTGGCAGTGTGGAGGGCTCCCTGGCTTTTGTCCTCAGCTGCTACAACCCTGCAAAACTGAGTTTGTTTGTGTGTCTGGGCTGAATCCTGTGTTGAGGACAAAATACAAAACTCCCCTCTCACTGTCAGTGGAACTGTCAGCGTTCAAGAACACATAATCACAGAATTATTATTATGATTATATGAAGGTGCTTTATTAAAGAGCTCTGGGTATCAGAGGTACACATACCCAAATCTGACTCAACTTGGATTTGAGCTGAACATGTTTTTATATTCTGTCGTTATATAACTTACATATTAATTATTAAACTTACATTGTTCTATTGTATACATTGATTTTACCCAAGCATGGATTTCTCGTGATCCCCCCCAAACCTCTAACATAGTTTCTCATGGTTCTTTAAACAATAATTATATCTAATCACATCTAACAATTATATCATTTATCATATACTGACTACTCAGGTGGAGTTTCCCATGATCTTAGCAAGCACAAGGCCTAACATTTCCCAGGGCCTACTTTTAACACTTTTTCAAGGGCTTGCCAAGCCTTTCTTTCTAACTCCCCGAATTTTTTATGATTTTAAAATCTTTTGCTATCAGAACCTCTATTTTTGTAAAACATAATGATTTTGAGACCTGTTGGGCTCAGGGCTCTTAATATTTGCCTTCATATAGCATTTGAGGCTGGAATTCAATTTCACAAATAAAAGATGGGATTTTCTTTTTCCCATCCTTTTTTCCTTCTCTTTGTACACAAAATTTACTCAGAAATGGGAAATATGATGGTCCACTATTGTGATCACTTACTGTAAGTAATCAAACTGCCACTTCCAAGCTTCCAATAAAGTCATGGAAGCTTTTGGCTGCTTGAAGGTGGTCATGCCATGACTCAAGGACACGCTCCTGAATGTTTTACTCCTATCCATCAGCTCCCAGAGTGGTGAAATTTGTTACAAGTCTCAACAGCGTGGTGTCTGAGGAGGGAAAAGAGGCCGTGTTCAAGTGCACCGTCTCCCCCAGTGATGCCGTGGTCACCTGGCTCAGGAACGGGGCCAAGATTGAAGCAAGCAAGAAATACGTGATCTCTCAGAAGGACACTAACCACAGCCTCACCATCACTGATCTGACACTGGAAGATGCAGCTGAAATCACTGCCAATGCTGAGGGCGTGGAAAGCACAGCCAACCTCAGAGTCCGAGGTAAGAAAGGCTGGAAATGGCATCCTGCCTACAGCAGAGGCCTGAAATTAGATGGTCTTTAAGGTTCTTTCCAAGCCAAGCCATTCTATGATTTTGTTTTATGTGGCTTTTCTTCTAATTAATTATGTTAGCAGCAGGGATTTTCTGCTTTTGCATCATTAAATAAGAGTGCCCAGAAAACTTTGGTTGAGACACTGGTTTAATTTTCTTTCAAATCCTGTTTTCTGGATCCTCTGCATTCCTACTATTTCCTCTCTTGCAGAGGCCTCAATCTCCTTCAAGAAGAAGCTGGAGCCCAAAACTGTTGAAGAGAGGGAGACAGTGACCTTGGAGGTAGAGCTGACCAAGCCTGCAGAGGTGAAGTGGATGAGGAACAGCATCGTGCTGAAGCCCAGTGACAAGATTGAGATCAAAGCTGAGGGAACAAAGCACACCTTGGTGGTCAAGGACATCTCCTTCGCAGACCGGGGCTTCTACTGCTGTGAGAGCCCCGATGACAAGACCCAAGCCAAGATCAATGTGGAAAGTGAGTTCAGTGATCCTCAGTTCTGTAAATACCCCAGGCAGAGATTTATCTGCATTATCATGGGCACACAGGGACAAAAACCGTGGGCTTGGCCACCAGTCAAATGACGGAGAGGGGGTGAAAGCTAAACAGTGAACAGAGAATGTCTGACTGGTTCCTGTTGCCTTCCCCTCATCCCAACAGCTTTGGCCATAAGCATTCTAAACAATCAAAAGATTGTTTGTAAAAATGCTCAGTTCTTTTCCCCAGGATTGGGATTGACGAGCAGAGAGATGGCTTTCGCCTTCGGACTGAGGGTGTCTATTTTTCTTATCTGTGTTACATTCTCACAGACAGTGAACGCTTGCACACACTGACCTAGCAAGCTACAAATGGAGACCCAGGGCTCTGTCCACAAGACCTTCAATGCCCAAGAACATCCATCGTGCCCCTCATTCACTGCTATATGTCAAACTCCAAATTTTTCACCCAGTGACTTAACATAATTCTATCTAACTCACACATTCGCATTCCCAGCTTCTCCACTCAGTTTTAGAAGCCTTCTCCATGGTCTTAAATTAAACCCAGTGTTCTCGTGAGTGTCTGAGCCTGTCAGCACAGATAAAGGGACATTTTCTGTGCCTGGGGCTCCAACAATTGTTCTCTTTACTCTCTTTCTCACTCCCTGATAAGCTGTGTTTTTCCTTGGTATGATTTTTTAGCGAAAAAAATCCCTCTTCAGCCATTTTTTGGCCTGATTTTTCTCTGCAAACCACCTCGTTCAGAACATCTCTTTATATCCAGTCAGGGTCTAAAAATCTACAAAAACAAATCTCTCTGACAGTGTTTCCCTCTTGGGTAAACTAATGGTGCCTCATCCATAGCCCTGTACTTTTGTCACTTTTCTAGATCTTTTTGTCATAATTGTCACGGGATAGGTGAAGGTAGGATTTAATCACTCAAGGACTGTCTAATTTTATCCATAAAGTCCTTGCCACCAACTGGTGCTGGGCTGGTCCTAAATAATAGGTGAGGAAGGACTTGAAAACAGTCTTTTGGGTGTTTTATGTCTTACAAAGTGGAAGGGAACAAGGAAATAATGGACTTCAGGTGCAGTGAGAAAGATCTAGGTTATATTCTAAAAATGCTTTTTAATGGTCAGACGACTGAAGAGGTTGTCTGGGGCAGTCTTGGAGCCTTCATCATGTTTCTGGGATTTTTTTTAATTGGCAACTTAATTACTTTTAGTGGTGATACAAGTTTAAACACTAAATCTGTTTTACCAGATGACAGAAAATGGATGTCTTGTCATAGGAACAGGTAATGTCCACCTAAACCATGGATACTTTGGCCACCAGCCTGTGAGGTGGTCAGCACTTTTTGCACCATGTTATGGATTGTTTTTTTCCTTTTACTATAGCTTTTTCCTGCCATCCCTGTTTTATCCTAACTGCACAGTATTTCCATGGACTTTCTTTTACTAAAAACTGATAGTACTTGGTAGAAAGTGGGGCCAGTGGTGTTTTCTGTGATATTTGGTTGACCTGTTTGTCTCTTGAAAGCATCCATTTAAAAAATAGCAGCTATGTTAGCGGTGTGGTCATGGACAGGTTTTATTCCCTATAAAAGTGATTGTTTAATTGGAAAATTCTGACTAATTGGAAGGCACATAATCCCTTTTGGAAGTCCTCAGGCTATTTCACAGCTGCCAGTGTGAGATCTCCAACTTTTCTGTGTTGTTTTCCAGTGAGGCAGATCAAGCTGGTGAAAGGCCTTCAGCCCCAGGAGGTGGCTGAGAAAGGGACTGTCACCTTCGAGGTGGAGGTGTCACACGAGGACGTGGAGGGGACCTGGCAGAAGGATGGAGTTCGTCTGAAGCCCGCACCCAACATCAGCTTCGGTGTCCTGGGCAAGAAACACTCCCTGACTCTCTCCTCGGTGGCACTGGAAGATGCAGGACTCATCTCCTTCAGAGCAGAAGGCATCAGCTCATCGGGGAGGCTCACGGTGACTGGTAGGCAGGCACAGAAGGCTCCAGCCCTGCTTGGGGTGCATGCAATTGTCTTCTTCTGACCTGGAGAGCAAACTTAAGGGGGAAACAAATTTTTCTTGTAACTTCAAGTTAATTGCTAACTACAATTAACCCCTTGCACAGTAATCTTTCCTTCTAGTGCCAGCAGGATCATTGTGGCATCGCTGTCCACAGAACAATGATAAAATTGGAAGGGAATGATCAAGTGTCCAAACCAATACAAATTTTATTTTCACGGAAGTCAGGCTCTGCCTACCCATCAGTGCTTGTGTGACCCCATTCACTGGACTTTCTCTTTCCTTCCCAGAATTACCTGTGAGGATCAGCAAACCTCTGGCAGACGTCAATGTAACTCAGAAACTCAAGGCCACGTTCGAGTGTGAGCTGTCCAAACCCAATGCCTACGTGAAGTGGTTCAAGGTACAGCACTTAATGGATTGTGATATTTTAATTTCTGACTTCTCTGGATGGAAATGGGAGCCTTTAATTCTACTTAATTCATTTAATTCAACTTAATTTAATTCAGGGAATATGAGCCTAAGTCTTTGCAGTAAAGCCCTTAGCATTGCTCTCTTGTCCTTATGTTCATTTACTCTCCCAATTTATCACTCTTGGGTTTTTATTTACTGTATTTGCATATTGTATTGAAAATTAAACTTTTCCAGTGTTGTACAGAATGTGAGCACTGCTGTTACAGATCTGCAGTCTTGTGTTTCACTCCACACTGAGCAGTATTCACCCAGGATTTACAGCCTTTTTTGGGAAATGTGACATAAAGGGAAACTTCAATTTCCTTTGTCAGCGACAATCCAGTTCCTTTTCCCTAGAGAGTCATTTTGGGGATCATCTCTGGCATTTCATGTACTTCCCTTGGGGCAAAGCTGATACTTCCCTTAATTTGGGGCAGCATCAATTCTTCAAGGTGGAATTTGGGCTGGAAGGCTCATTTCAAACCTCCTGCCATGAGCAGGGTCATCTTCAATCACATCAGGTTTCTCAGAGCCCTGTTCAACCTGCTCATGAATGTTTCCTGGGATGGGATATCCACCACCTCTTTGGGCTACCTGAGCCAGCCTTTTGCCACCCTCATTTTGAAAATCTTCTTATTTCCAGTCTAAATTTGACCCTCTTTTAGTTTGAAACCATTTATGTCTGAAGGGACTCACTGCCAACCTTGCATGGTGTTTTAAGCCTTCAAAAAGGTGTCTGAGATCATCCAAAATTTCTGTGTGTTCTGCAGCCATTCCAACTACCTGAAATCTTTGCCCTGCGATGAATATTCAACACAAGTTCCTTTAAACATATTTTTCCATTCAGTCCAACAATAAGGATTAAATAAGCACAGATCTGAATGTCTGTTTTGCTCACTGAAGATGCACAGGAGTTGAGGGTGATCTGTTTTGACCTTTTCCCCTTCTAGGACGGGAAGGAGATCCAGCAAAGTAAAAACATTGGGATTATCTCCCAAGGAAATAAGAGAAGCCTCATTATTCACAAGTGTGAATATGAAGACCAGGGAACCTATACATGTCAAGCAGCTGAAGACAAGACATCAGCTACTCTAAAGGTTCATGGTATGTTTAGTTGAAGTAGGAAAATACATTTACTGCAGCATTTTGGCCTACACACCAAGAAATTCTTTGTGAGCTTTTCACAGTTGCTCATTTTGGTTAAATTTCTCTTCCTGGTGAGAAAATGCTGGCAAAGCTGTCCTGTGCTTGCAGTATTTTTGGAAGAGGTCCTAACTCAGTTTTCCATTTATCATAAGTGATTTCTGTTCTCTGGAATCCAAATGGTGTTTCTGGATTGGCACATCAGGAAATACTGGACAGCCTGGCCCAAAGCAAGGATTCAGAGTCTGGTGCTGGTGTGGTTTGGTGTCACCATTGTCACAGGGGAACTTTGCCTGAATAGGGTCTGGACAAGCCTTGGGTGTGAGCTCAAGAAATGCCCTAATTTTTAGGTTGTAAATCATAAGGAAAGGGTCATTATTTTTGCCTGCACCTCTTCTTTGTGCTCAAGGCAGGTTTTCCATCTGAGTGTTGCACTGAGCAACTGATGAAGCGCCAGGTGTGTTTTGTCACCAGGCTCTGAAGCACCCGAGATAAGCTCTGAGATAAAGGCACATAACTCAACAGACAGCTCTGCTGTGCCCTGGCAAATGTTATTTTCTAAAGGGGCATCTGAAAATCAGATCAGCTTTTTCTTAGTGAGAGACAGAGCATCTTTCTCATTGCTTACTAGATGCTGTCCTCATGTGGCCACTTGGGTTCAGCAGTATCTTCATGAACATCTGAACCATTGCTCTGTTGAATTCCCCCTTTTCTCCCTGATTTTGGGATAGGGGTGGGTTGCTGCTGGCATTTCAGCTCTGCCTCTGAGGCTGATCCAAGGAGTATCAGTGCCTTCTCTTTCAAAAAGAAAGGGCTGCAGTAGCACAGATAAATAGATCAGTTCTGACAAAAGGAGTGCCAAGGTGCAGAGTTAAAGAGGATTATACTCAGTTCAGGAGACTCTGAAAAAAGATATCTCCTTTGTAAAACAGAGGAGAGCATGCAGAGAAGCATGAATGAGGCAAGTTTATAATGACCTAAGATTGTAGACTTGTGTTTAGTTTTTCTTGGCTGATTTGCTTTCATTAATATGTGTATTTCTTTCATTAATACCTGTATGAAGTTCCAGCATCTATAAAATCCTCCTGCAGTAAAGTTCAGCCATAAAAAGTATTCACTGTGTTGAAGAGAGAAACTACCTGGGAAGAAAGGCTGCTCTAAAATAAAACACAAACCCGTTTTTTTCCATGTAATTATGCAGAAAGTAAACACACCCTACCCACTCATTTTGGGAGAAACCCCCAAATAAATATTTGTCTTTCTGTCTTCACAGCCCGAGATATCAAGATTGTAAAACCACTGGAAGATGTGGAAGTGAATGAATACGAGAGTGCATCTTTTGTCTGTGAGATCTCACACGACGAGGTCGAAACCCAGTGGTACAAAAATGACAACAAGCTGAAGACTTCGGACAACATCAAAATGCGGCAGGATGGTAGGAGGAAAAAAGGGGGATTTTGTTCTGGAATGGGGGTGGGTTGGATGAGGGGCTGGCATGGGAGACTAGAAAATAGGGTTTTGCGCTGGGATAGCTGAACTGAGTCTGTTTGTGTGTCTGTCCCCAGGAAAGAGCTATTCCCTGACTTACATGCGTGTCCACGTCGAGGATGCGGCTGAGATCAGATTCGTGGCAGAAAAGGCAGAATCTCGTGCTCAGCTGACTGTAAAAGGTAATTCTGCTGTTTGTGACAGTACTGCTTCTGCTCTCTCACATTACAAACCAATTCACTTCCCTCACTTTGGATGTGAAGGTTAAAAAGTCCTACAGTGATCAGGGAAAGAAAACCTGCTTGCTTCACTGCCTGATAAATATCAGCTGGGAGTTGATTTTGGCTTAATTCCAGTTAATTGTCTCGAGAGGTTGGATTTGCACCTTTAGACATTTAAAGTTGTGTGTGAAATTTGAGGGACAAAAAGCTGTAGCTTGACTTTTCCTTGAATTTTCACTTTTTGGTGTATGTTATGACACAACCCAGCATTTTTGGGTGTGTTTAACTAAAACAAGGTGATAGAAGGAGAGAAAAGGAAGATGTTTGAATTAACACATTGCTGAGGAGCTCAGGAAACTGGAGATCAGCCCCTGGTTTTGCCGTGGCACTGCTGTGGGGTGTTGAGGAAACCATCTGTTACTTCTGCAGTTCTGCCACTCCAGTGGTGAAATATGGAGGAAAAATTTCCCTTTAATTAGCTCTTACTAATTAAACTTGTTAATTGATCGCTCAGCATAGTGGGGATTCCTGTCATCATCCAAACTGCTGAAAATAAAAGAATTGTTGCTGATGAGTTTTTATGGAGACATTACCACACACTCCATTTCCTTCGCTCTTGTAGAGCTGCCCGTAAAGATCGTGAAGCCTCTGCGGGATAAGATCGCCCTGTGGAAGCACCGGGGCTTCCTGGAGTGCCAGGTGTCCCGAGCCAATGCCAAGGTCCGCTGGTTCAAGAAGGACGTGGAAATTCACCCCAGTGAGAAATACGAAATCGTGAGCGAGGGCGTCTATCGGAAACTCATCATCAACGACGCCGACTACGGAGACGAGGACACGTACACGTGTGACGCCTTCGATGACAAAACCACAGCTAATTTCTTTGTTGAAGGTGGAAACCCCTTTTTTTTTTCACCCCTAGGATGCACTGGGAGGAGGATGGGCTGATTCACTTGTTTACTTTGGAAACTCAGTGCTGCTTGAAAAGGATTTTTATTTCATGTTAGTTATTCTGAAGCCCACTGGTAAATCCTTTTACACACAGGAACATCGTGAAAATTAATATATGGTATATTTCCCTAAGGAAAATGAGGAAATTCCCATTCCAGAGATATTTATCAAATGTATTGGATAAAGCCTGTTTTTCAGATAAATGTTGCAGCTCCTTTTATCAACACCTGCATTCCAATGAGCCCTCCTTTCCATTTTATAGCACTACATGTTTGGTATCAGGATAGGAAGGTGACTTTAGGATTAGGACTAGGAATCAAGAGCTAGAGATTCACTTTCTGGCCTGTGACCAGCAATATCTGTTTGCTTTTATACAGAATATAAAAGATGTTTTAAGGCCTTTTGAGTTCATAAGCGCAGAAAAGATGTCATGAGTGTTCAGACTGATAATGGAAAAGCTTTCCTGACTCCTAAATCCCTGCTCTCTGTTCCATCCAGAGCAAGCCATTAACATTGTAAAAGAATTGTGTGATGAGGATGTGACTGAGCCTGAAGAAGCCAATTTTGAATGTGAGACATCCATTCCATCTGTGAAACCTGCCAAGTGGTTCCTGAAGGGAGCAGCCTTGCAGGCTGGCAGAAACGTCATCATGCAGCAGGAAGGCACCATCCACAGGCTGACAATAATAAAAACAAGTGTTGATATGACAGGCACCATCCAGTTCTCCATTGGCAAATCCAAATCCACAGCGAACCTGCTTGTCAGAGGTAATGAGATTTTGAATATATATCATGTGAGTGAGAACAAAGATCTTCCCTCTCACAGTACCTGGAAAGTAATTTGTCATAAATGTTCTCTACTCTGGGTTCTTGGGACTGTGTGTGTACCTGGAAGATCTGTTTAGCTCCCAGCTGCAATTGGAAATTGTTGGAAGCGATGGTAGACGCACCAACTGAGCCAGAAATGTCTTAGGAAGGGATCTGATTAAATGACTTTGGTGTCCCTGGTATTCAAATCTATCAAGCTAAAACTGGTTTCTGGTTTATTTTTATTCTCTTGACTTTACCAAGGAGGACAAAACAGATGAAATTTGCCAGGAGAGTTTATTTTGTCCCATTTCTGAACTAGACAAGTTTGATAGCTCATTTACTTAATTCATTTTGTCATTGACTTGATCTAGGACAAAGCCTCAAGGCTTTTTATCTTCTACTGTCACCATGGTAAATCTCTCCAATCACGTCCTGAAGTCCTTGTTTTGTCTTTAATTTGCTCTTGAATGAAAACTTCAATTAGAGAGCAATTCAGCAAGCACTGAGCCAGAAGTGGACCATGAATTTGGTGGTTAATAAACAGTATTATCTTACAGAAATCAGCTTTTCTTATAGATCATCTTGCTGTTGTAGCCTCAAACTCTGTTAGAGACACTTGTAGCAGGATCTGACCAGTTCACAAAACACTTGTGAAAGCCACATGTGAAATTAATAGGAATGAAATACAGATTAAAACCTTCCTCCTCTTTAGATTGATCCATTCTTCTTCCCCACCCCTGCTTTGCAGATTACCACATCCAGATCACCAGGAAGCTGGAGGACAAGACCGTCCTGGAGCGACACTCAGTCATCCTGTCCTGTGACTTCAGGCCTTCCCCAAAGCACGTGAAGTGGTTCAAGGGCCAAGTGCTCATTGAGCCCTCGGAGAAGTACAAAATCAAGCGGGATCAGTACTCGGCAGAGCTCAAGATCATGAAGGTAAAGCCTGAGGATGCTGGCGTGTACAAGTGCAGGGCCGGGATCGCTGAGACCGAAGCCACGCTGAGCGTTGAAGGTACGAGAGGTTTGCAGCAGCAACGCTGGCCTGATGCTGGTCTTTGTGATTCTCTCTTTCACTTGGGGTTCCTCCTCCTGAGGAGAGGTGGATCCCCACAGTTACCTTCTAATTTTATATAAATCAGTGTCACAAGCAAACTGCTGATTCCACAACCCTGAAATCCATCCCTTGCTGTGAAGCTGGTAATGTGTGTGGGAGGGCACCATGTGGGTGAAATACAAGTTAACGTTTGTCAAGACACATGATTGTCCATTTCATACAAGGAATTAGACCTCTGGTGCTTTTAACTAAAAATATCCTTTATGTTAAACTGCTACAGGCCTCCGATTCTGGTGATCTTGGCTGTGGTTTTCATTTCCTGACTGCTGTGTCAGTTTCTCTATCAGTTATACATTTGTCTACTTTATATATATATATATATATTTTATAACTATTGTTATATATCTGAATACAATTGTTATTCATAATGATGCTCTACCCCATCTGGGCATGGAACTGTTTCTAGCTAGTTCTTCCCCTCAGGTGACACTGCAAGAAAAGATATTCACTGTGTCACTTCCAGCAAGACTTGGAGCTGAGCCACAGAACCATTTCCAAAAGTCGAGGGAGCAGCTCTTGGTAGCAGTTTGGCTTTGCAGATGTTCTTCATTGAATGTGTTGTCAAACACTGAAATGAGCTCCTCAGGGCAGTGATGTCACCATCCCTGGAGGGATTGAAAGATTTTGGGGATGTGGTTTCATGGAGACCTTGGCAGTTGCTGGTGGAATGGTTGGACTCAATCTTAGAGGTCTTTTCCAGCCTAAATGATTCTGTGACTCTGTTCTATCCAAACAAAAATATATATATTAAAAAAAAATTTAAATTCAAGTAATAGTCCCAACCCCTCTTCAGAGTTATCTCATCCTTGAAAACAGCATTCCATAAGTGATGAAGCTACAAGGAGAAATCTCTGCCCAAGGATTGGGAAAGAAAAGAACCAAAATTCTCTTGCTTCCTAAACCTGAGCAAGTTGCTGAATCTCTTTGTATTTTGCCTTTGTGGCCAAAATCATTGTCTTCATCTCATCTTCTGTGTCACAATTTCCCTGGAAACGAGGGACAATTCACTTAAAATGCATTTGTGTGTGCAGTGACGGGTACACAGGGACTGGAGCTCTGTGGGATGCTTGGGTCACTGTAACATCATTTTAGAAAAAAAATTACTTGTTTTTAGATGAAACATGAACAAAACCTCCAAACTGATTTATCTATAAAAAGAGAACACAGGGCTCTAGACAACTTTGATTAGTCTTTTTAATAGATTTTTTGTTGTTGTTGGAGAAAATGCAGAACCAAGTAAGCAAAATGTGGTGACCGAAGGTGTTCAGGAGACCAGAACAAATCTTCTGATTAACTTCAATGAAATTGCTTGTGATAACAACTGATTTATGGTGATGGTGGTGACGATGCCCCTTGGTTTCCCCCAGCCCGCAATGTAGAGGTCCTGAAGCACCTGCAGGACGTGGAGATCGAGGAGGACAGTTCTGCTGTGTTCTCCTGCGAGCTGTCCCATGATGACGAGGACGTGGAGTGGTTCCTCAATGGCACCCTCCTCTACACCAACAACTTCAACGACATCAAGAGCGTTGGCAAGTGCTACACACTGACCATGAAGCAGGTGAAGCCTGAGGATGCTGGCACGGTGACAATGAAGTCAGACAAGGTGTCAGAGACCGTGAGGCTGAAGGTGATAGGTGGGTCCAGATCACGCTCCTGAATGAAGGGTGCAAATGAGCCATTATTTACCAAATCCATGGGGCAATCATGATTAATGGATAAAAAAACCTGAGCTATTAAATATGGGCCATGAGGATGGTGAAGGGTCTGGAGGGGAAGTCTTGAGAGGAGCAGCTGAGGTTATGTGTCACTGTCTGACACAAAATGATTCATACAGATGCAGCTCGAAGTGAGATGGAAGGAGAAGGAAGTTTATTTGTTCTTTCAGTATTGATACATTTTTGACCATGACCAGGGATTGGATAGTCACGTCACCAATTTCCCAACCACACTGGCTGTGAGAGATGTCCATCAAAAGGCACATCTTTAATTGAATGTATAAACACCTATGTTTATGGTTCCTTTCCTGGGAAAGTGGCTAGAAATTATGAAAACAATATTGAAAGGCCTGATTCTCAGGGTGACAGTTTTGGTCAGCTGGAGGAGACTGAGGAGAGACTTCACTCAGGTCTTCAATGTCTTCATCAGGGGAAATGGAAGGGCAGGTACTGATCTCTTCACACTGGTGGACAGTGACAGGTCTTGAGGAAACGGCTGGACCTGAGTCATGGGAGGTTTAGGCTGGATATCAGGAAAAGGTTCTTCCCTCAGAGGGTGGTGGGCACTGAACAGGCTCCTCAGGGTATGATCGTGGTCCCAAGGCTGACAGAGCTCCAGGAGGGTTTAGATAATGTTCTCAGGGACAGGAGGGGGTTGTTGGGATGTCTGTGCGGGGGCAGGTGTTGGATTGGATGATCCTTGTGGGTCCCTTCCAACTCAGAAAATTTTATAATTCTGTGGTTTTTAATACATCAGTTCTGGAGCTGGATTCAGTCAACCATGAGAAGACAGTTTCCTGCTGTTCTTCATATGTCTGAAAGTTCAGTCACACAACTGAGTTTCTGTGGTTTAGCACATTCTTGGGCACCCTCAGCGAGTGCGCACGTGACACCCCCGCTGAGTGGGGTATTGCATGCCTGAGGGTTGAGGTGACACCCAGAGGGACATGGACACACGCAAGAAGTGAAGCTCTTGAGCTACAGCTGGGTTGGGGCAGCCCCTTGTGTCAACACAATCTTGGGATGAAGGGATTTGGAGCAGAATGAAGCATTGAGAGCAGGATGAAGCACTTGGGGGTGCTGGAGAGTGACACTGGTTTAAGTTCTGCATTGGTACCAGCAATATTGCCAAGGATTTATTAATGTCTCTAAATATTTGATAGCAACTGAAAGTTTCCCAAACATCCTGGTTGTTCTGTTTTGCCTCTTGACCTTCAGAGAAACCTGCTGTCTTCATGAAATCCTTGGATGACGTTTTCGGTGAGGAGAGAGGAGTGATCAAACTGGAATGTGAAGTCTCCAAAGAGAAGGTCAAACCTGTTTGGAAGAAGGATGGTGTGAAGATCACTTCTAGCAAGAAGTATGAGGAGTTACAGTCTGGGAAGACCCTGTGCCTCATTATCCATGACCTTGAGAAGACAGATGCGGGGTTATACACCTGTGACATCGGCACTGATGTTGCCAAATCAAAGGTCAGCGTTCAGGGTAAGTGTTGCAGACAGTGGCATCTCAAGGCGTGTTAAAAATATGGTTGGGCTTGGTCCCTTGGGTTCTCACCTGTTCCTGAACAAATCTCACATAATACTGTGATGTCTCAGCAATCCCTGTTAATTTTGGTGTAAGTATATCTGGGGTTTCTAAGTGAAAATCAGGTGTCAGGAAGGTAGTGACAATATTTTCTTGTTGAACATCCATAAAGTGCAGAAATCCTCCAAGAAAAGCAAAAATTTCTCCAAAAAAATCACAACTAATGACAAAAAAATCCCCCAAGCAGCCTGTTTCATATTTTGAGCTATTGACTCAGAGTCCATTGTAGGAAAACAAAAGCAGGACAACAGTATCTGTTGTGGAACCCAGCTGTTCAGCCTGTCCTCTAATCCATGTGTCAGCCTGAAGGACAAAGAATGGTTCACGGCTTCTAAACTCATAATGTTAATGAGAAAAATTTTGAATTTGCCTGGTTTGAACACCAGGAGTAGCAAGTCAAAAAATTCAAACATCCTATTTCTCCTGTCAGCATGGAGAAGAACCTCACCAATTGTCCCTGAGGCTTTTTTATTTATGGCTTTTATCTTCTCTCACTCATTGAATCTTGAATCTGCCCCACTGAGTTGTTCTTCATTCAGTCCATCCTGACCACAGCCAGGAGATTCACATTTTGCTTTTTTGTGCAACTTTCAGATGATTCTGAAAAATGATGAGTCTGAAAAATCCTTCCCATGCCACAGCCACCTGTAAGGAGTGCAGCTGTATCCTGCCAGTCTAGCAGATAAACCCTTTGTATGAGTTAAAAACACCATTAATCTACTCATGTCAATCATGAAAGCATTTTTAACTTGTATTAATGTAATTTTTTGTTCTCCAGAACTGAACATTGGCATTACCAAACGGCTCAAGAACACTGAAATCCAGGAGGGAGAAGATTGCACTTTTGAGTGCATTTTGTCCCATGAAAGCATTGACGACTTCAACTGGACACTGAATGGGAGGAAAGTGGAAAGTGGGGGGAGATTTAAAGCCTCCAATGCAGGTCGGAAATACACACTGAGTATCAAAAATGTGATCCCTGATGACACTGGGGAAGTCATCTTCACTGCCCGTGGTCTCACCTCCAAGGCTTCTCTGGTTGTGAAAGGTAATGGGATCAGAAAAGCTCTGGGTGTATTTTCTTAAGGTTTGTCAGCAAACAGCAACCTTCCCTGTGATCCTTGAAGAGCTGAGATTTTTGCTTAAAAACAAGTGAAATGCTGAAATTTTTAATAGATATTTGAGAACTGACTGCACTAGGTAATGTGTACAGATGATTACAGCCCAGACTGTGCATCAGAGATAATCACCCAAGGCTCCTGGGTGGTCAGTGGAGAGAAGGAATTAGTAATTTTCAGACATAGTTCATAATGTGCAGTTAGTCCTTTTCCACAGAATCAGGAAATCCCAGAATGGTTTGGGTTGGAAGGAACTTTCCATCATCTTGGTCCAACCTTGCACAGGGTGCCCAGAGCAGCTGTGGCTGCCCCTGGGTCTCTGGAAGTGTCCAAGGCCAGCTTGGACAAGCTTGGGACAACCTGGGATAGTGAGAGTTGTCCCTGCCCATGGCAGGGGGTGGTACTGGGTGATCTTTGAGATCCCTTCCAATTGAAACCATTCTTGTGATTCTATGATTTGAATTGCAAAAACCCCAAACATATAGAGATGATTCTCATTCAAAACTCTTTTTTCTTTTTTTTTTTAAAATGTCTGCAGAAAAACCTACTGAGGTTACAAAACAGCTGGAGGATAAAACATCACCAGCAGGGCAGGACATCAGCCTGAGCTGTGAATTGTCCAAAGCTGATGTGAACATCAGGTGGTACAAGGATGGCAAAGCAATCCGGAAAAGCCAGAAATACGAGCTGCAGCAGGAGGGAACACTGGCCACTCTCATCATCCGTGAATCCACCGTCAAGGACAGCGGGGAATACACCTGTGAGACAGAAACCTCCAAAACAACAGCCAGGATCACAGTGCAAGGTCAGTGGAGGGTGGAGCTGGCAGGTTCAGAGGTTGGGTGTAAATATCTACAACCATGAGAGATTTCTTCTCCTCCATCTCCCCGGGCAGGATCAATTTTTAGTTTAAAAAAAAAATCATTGATTAAAAGCTTAAAAAAATTAGATGTGAAAAAACACCTTTTGGATGCTGAACAATCTTATGGGCTCTGTAACAAGCCAATCAAAATTGGAGATTTGAATTATTCTGTTTTGAATTATTCTATTTTGAATTATTCTATTTTGGATTATTCTGTTTTGAATATGAGTGCTGAAAACTGTCTGCAAGAGGAGGCCTCACCAGTACATGAACCATGACATGAAACTTTCCTGGAGATATTTCACCTGATATGCCCTGTGACAGGAGGGGAACCTGGTGATCTTAGCTATGTTCCATCTGATAGGATGGGAGGAAATGGCCTCAAGGTTTAGATTGGATTTTAGCAGAAATTTCTTCATGGAAAGGGTGGTCAGGCATTGGAACAGGATGCCCAAAGGTGTGGTGGAGTGACCACCACTGGGGGGATTTAAAAGATGTGTAGATGTGGTTACTGGGGACAGGGTTTAATTAAGTTAATAGTTGGACTTGGTGACCTTAAAGGTCTTTTTCAGCCTAAATGATTCCATGATTATTTATTTGATGATTCTGTGAGATGGGGCAAAGGGGATCCAAAACCACTCTGGATGCTCAAGATTAGTTTGGGCAATAAATTTGTCTCATCATTTTTTTTTTTAATTTCTTTTTTTCCCTCCAGAAAAGCCCAATTATTTTGTCAAGGAACTCTCAGACCTGAAAGTCAATGAAAGCGGAACTGCAGTTTTTGTGTGCCAGAGTGAGAGAGCTGCATCCTCTGTGGTCTGGAGGAAAGGCATGGCTGAGCTCAGGGCTGGCAGGAAATACGAGATCACACAGAAAGGACAAGTCCTCCAGCTGACCATAAAGAACTTGGAGAAAAGTGACAGTGACACTTACACATGTGACATTGGGGACTCCCAGTCCAGAGCCAAGCTAACTGTGCAAGGTATGGGTGAGAGGAATGGGGCTGTACATCCCTTTTCTGCCGTGGGAAATATGTACAGGCACAGCTGTATCTCAGCAGGGCAGCAGAGCTGCTGGTTTCTGGTTCTGTCTCTCTCATGGTGGCAGGAACACGTGGCCAAAAATACAGGAATGTAGAGCTGAACATGCAGAACAGTTTGGATCAATTACACCTGGAGTATTTTGGGTGTGATTTAAACCCCCCAAAGGCTCATGTGAGGGGAGAGATTGATGTTCCTCTGTGAATGCAAAATGGATGTGATTTCCAGTGCCTGCTGTTGAATGAGGGAAAATTATCCTGTCCTCAGGTTTTTCTCCTTGATTCTTCTACCCAGGAGTGGTTTCTAAGAGGTGGTGGATAAAAAGAAAGGTCCACAGAATCATGGAATGGGTTGGGTTGGAAGGGAACTTCATCCAACCCATCTCTTGCCATGGCAGGGACACCTTCCACCATCCCAGGCTGCTCCAAGCCCCATCCAACCTGGCCTTGGGCACTTCCAGGGATCCAGGGGCAGCCACAGCTGCTCTGGGTACCTGTGCCAGGGCCTCCCCACCCTCACAGAGATTAATTCCTTCCCAGTGTCCCACTTAACCCTGCCCTCTGGAGAAATGATTCGAGAGCAGTCAGATGGAGGTGCAGCAGCAGCGTCCACTCGCAAATTATTGTAGCTTTTAAAGACAAGGAGGTAAAGTCAGGCTCCTCCTCTGATCATCTGCTACAGCATCCTCGAGGAGCAAAGAAATGTGTTTAATCCCCATCATAACCTCAGGCTCTGAGCTGTCTGAATTCACTCTGAGCTGTTTAACACCAGCTTTTCTGAGTGGAAAAACACTTCTCTGTCATGAACGTTAAAGTTCATCCCTGTATCGGCTTTACAAGGAGAAGGAACATCAGAAATATTTTTGTATACAATGATAACCTTATTTTGTATATATTTATAGTGAGGTTTGTAAGTGTGTTTATATTTTTATATATATTTTTAGTTGGGGTTGTATCTATCTATATCTATATTTATAGGGAGGTTTTCAGGGCAGATTTTTGGGTTTTTTTTGCCAAAGCCACAGTCAGACATTTTCTCCATTTCCCACAGTGTTTAGGGTTGGACTGAACTTGAGGAAGGTGTGGGATCAAAGGTCCTATCCCATAGAAAGGAAGTTGTTTTTGCTGTAGAAAATCAGGCAGGTTGTCAAGGGACATATCATCTCTTGCTGACATTTAAAGCCCGATAATGCTGTCAGAGACTCATCCTTCCAACCTTTCCAGGGAATTCATTAAGACAAAATTTACGTCCCTGGATTTGCATTGCACTGGCTATTTGCTCTGCTTTATGTTTTCTGGTGCTTTAAAGTTGTCTTCACACAATTTTGATGTGTGTCCTGTATATATTATCTTCCTGCGAGCGGGTTTTGTGGTCAATACTGGGGGAAATCTGTTTTGATCTCCTCTGTCCTGAACGTATTTCTTACCTGAAATGCTCACGTGGGAAATCTTGGGAGTTTTCCTTGTCGATTTTCACGGCAGAAACTGAAGATTCCAGTAATTGATGTATTTATGTTCCTTTCAGGCCAGAAAGTGCTAATAACAGAAGACCTGGAGGATGTCACTGTGTTAGAAGGAGAATCTGCCAAGTTCAAGTGCAGAATCTCTCCCGTAGACTATAGCAGAGTGCAGTGGTTTTTGGATAAAACCCCACTCCATACCAATGAACTTAATGAGATCCAGTCCCAGCCTGGTGGATATCACCTGCTAACGCTGAAAAAGCTCTCACTGAAGGACTCGGGGGTCATTACATTTGAAGCTGGTGATAAGAAAACATCTGCCAGTTTGGTTGTTAAAGGTAAATCCATCATCACAACAGCAGGAGAGGAAATGATGAGTAGGATTAATTAATTAAGTGGGGTTAATGTGGGTAGGTGGAAAAAAAAAAAAAAGAAGAAATGCTGCAAATTTAGCACCATCATTGTATATCTGTACATGTTCAAGGGTAACATTAATTATATAATGAAATTATGGCTGGAGAATGAACTCTTTGTAATCCTGGACAACTCTTGGGGTGTTTAATGGATTTAGATGGGAATGTTATAATGCAGTGATGCTACAGTGGATGCCTCGTTCAGTTTTTCTCAAGCTGACAAGGTGATGATTCATTAGGAGAAATAAATTAATTCAATGAAAAACAAAAAAAAAAAGGGGACAAGAACTAAGTTTTAAATTCAGTTTTCTTTGTTTGAAAGGCAACATTGCATGTGGTCCCTGCAAGTCATTGTTGACAATGGATTGTTTTCTCTAGAAAAGTTAAACTGAGGTAAAACAACAGTGTTTGGTAGCAAAGACATAAAATGAATGCCAGACAGCCCAAGAATGTGGGATTAGAGTGATGTTTCCTTGGTGGAAATATAAATACTTCTGGTTGCCCAGAGATATAAAACACACAGTTTTCTCTGTGACAGATCATAATCTCATTTTTTTCAGAATAACCACATTTATTTTTAAGAAATTTTCTTCTTAAAAGAGTTGAAAATTTCCCCAAATTTTACTAAGCAGCAGAAATACAAATGGATTTCTTTTTCCTGAGGGAAAAAAATTAAAAGGTTAATTATTTATATTCTTCAGCAGGAATATTTTCTTCTCAGTTTCTCCCAGATATCATCTGATAGTTAAACAACACTTTACATCATCACTGGTGCCTTCCTGAGGGCTTTATAGTCACAAACACCAAATTATTTGTTACTAACCCTGACCTATAGCTTTGATACAAGCAATCCTGCATCCAAATCTCACAGGTTAATTGTGATCTGAGAATCCACACCTCTTCTGATCCATGGTTTTTATATGGATCACCTATTTTGGGAGAATCTCCTATTTCAGGAGAAGCCCTGTGTCTTCACAAAAGAGCTGGCTGACACAGAAGTCACTGAGGGAGAGGATGTGAGCCTTCAGTGTGACACCTCCAGATCAGACAGCCCTGAGAAGGGGTGCAAAGATGGGAAGAGCCTTAGGAATTCTTCCAAATATAACATCAGGACGTCAGGGTTTGGAGCCAAGCTTGTCATTCAGAGGGCAGAAGAGGGAGACAGTGACAGATGTGTGTGTGAGGCTGGAGCAGACAAAAGCAGTGCAGTGATTACTGTCAAGGGTAAGAACTTTTGGAGTGATGATTTGGGTCCTTGCACCAAGCCCAGAGTAATTAACTGAAATAAATAATAATAAAAAACATGAAACCACACTGAAAAGGAACAGTGGTGTGCACTGAGATGTTCCCATCAAGTCATCTGGAACAGCAGCCAGGGAGGTGAAAGTGTGAAACAGGAGAATCCTTCACCTGACCTGGCTCTAGCTCTGAGAAACATTAGTGCCTCCGAGGATCATGGAATTCTAGAATGGTTTGGGTTGGAAGGTACATTAAAGATCATCTCATTCCAAACCCCAAAAAGGGAGCAGTAGGAGAGCACCCCAGTCTAGGAGGTAATCCATGGAAACCATGGATCAGCTCCTGAAGCTGTCTCCAGTGATGCCCTCTCCAAGGAGGGAACTCACAGCCCCACATTTGTCTGTGCAATTGCTTTAGGCAGTCAGATTTATTCAGAGAAATGTACCCAAAGAGCACCACGAGGTGCTCACCTGCTTGATAGGACATGGGGAAATGGTTTAAAGTAAAAGAGGGTTAATTTAATTAGATTTAAGGGAGAAGTTTTTTACAATGAGGGTGATAAAATACGACAGGAGGTCACCCAGAGAGGTGTGGTGGATGGTCCATCCCTGGAAACATTCAGGGTCAGGTTGGATGGGGTTCTGAGCAGCTTGATCTGGCTGGAGATGTGTTGGGTCATGGCAGGGGGGTTGGACTGGATGAGCTTTAAGGGGCCCTTCCAACCCAAAGTGCTCTTTGATTCTGTGCTCTAATGGGCTGTTGTCTGAGCTGAGGCAAAAGTTCTCTTCTTAGAAGGTCTTTTAACTCTGAGTTAGGTATGGGTTGGTTCTCATCCAGCTCAGAACCAGGCTCATCAAATATCACCTTACAGTTGCTCCTGCCCATCTTGAGTCACTGTCCCAGGCTTAGGAGGAGCTCTGTCTCTGTGAGTTAAATCACTCTGTGAGTTAAATTGGTTCCTGGACAGGTTTGAGCAGGTACAGGGAGTCTTTTACAGGCACAGGCTGTGTTTATCCAGACCAGAGGATGTCCTGTGTGCAGCTGGTGTTACACACTTGGGATGGACTGATCAGAAGCTGCATCTGGATTAGGGAAGTCAACATGAACAAAAAAAGCATTTGGGTTGCTGGAATGGTCATTAATGATCCCGCTTTCTGTAGCACAAGGATATTTGCCCAATATCCATTACACACAAAACAAAGATCTGTGTTGGCTGCAGTGGGAACTGGATGAAAAATTTTCTGTTAGGAAAGAACCACGTTTGCAATGTTCCCACAACAGCCCAAATTTTCCCCTCACAGGGAAGGATGTGGATGGATGTAGGATTTAAACACACAGATTCAGGCCAAGGACTCAAATCATAAGGATGTCTACAAGAAATTGTACTATTGAAAAGCTTTCCTTTATCTATCAGAACAGCAGAATGCAAAAATAGAAAATAGAAATTCAGGGACACTGAGTGTCCCAAACTGGAGGTAAAAGGGGGACAGGATAATGGGGTGTAGATTTCCAACAGCCACAGGTTAAGTGCATCAAGGCTCAGTAGCTGACCTGTATATTCTTAAGGCAGCACAATTCAAGAAGTATTTATTTTTCCCTAATCTGAACATTTCAGTTGAGTTTATTTTTCCTCCCAAAAGTGCCTTCCCTGCTCTAGCTCACCTTAAAGCCTTGAATCCCAGGCTGTGACAGAGCCTGCAGGGGAATCTCCTGTCACGTTCAGCTGTGCTTCCCTCTCTGTGTTTGCTCTGTGTTTTAAGTCTGTGTTCATGCTGGATAAAATAATACACTGTAGGGGTCTCTCATGATGAGAAATCAATGCTGCTGTCACGACAGAAAGTGCTTTGCCTTTCTTCTGTGTGCTCTGTGCTGTGTGTGAGTTGACCTCAGTGAAGTTTTATGTTTTTTGTGCTGGTGGTCCAGCTCTGAGCAGCCATGTGCAGCACAGTTTGTGTCATTAACTGCAGTGCAGCATCTGCCTCTGATGTTGATAACGAAAGCAGTAAGAGCAGCAGCATCTTCAGCAGTGCAGATAGTGGCTAAAAACAAAATAAGCATCTGGCCTCAATTTTTTTTTGCTGCTGTAAAGTGCTGGCAGCCAGATGTGAGATGTCAGAATCTGTTTACTCTTTGCTAGTGCTTTTTCATTCCTGCGGTCTTCTGTCTCAAAAACCAAGTCTGATGCTAAAAGAGAAATTTAATTTCCAACCTCACGAGTTTATTTTAACATTTGTGTTATTCCTTTTCTCAGAAACACCAGTTCTTTTCAAGCAAGAGCTCCAAAATGAAGAAGCCAAAGAAGGAAAGCAGGTCAGGCTGACCTGTGAGCTCAGCAAACCTGGTACCCCAGTGAAGTGGATGAAGGGAGACACTGTTCTCTATGCCAGTGAGAAGTACGAATTTAAGCAGCAAGGGACTGTGGCAGAGCTCATAATTCGAGATGTGAAATCTGTAGATGCTGGGGACTACACCTGCAGTGCTGGGGAACTGAAAACCACTGCTCAGGTCAAAGTGAATGGTGGGTACAATCTGAGATATTGCTGCACTTAATCAAGTGCTTAATAGGGCTGTTAAACAAAAACAAATCACATAACACTTCATTTTTTTGGGGCCATCTTTAATAAGTAAAATTTAAAGGTATTATTGCACCCTTGTAGGCACCTATTGTATTGCACAAAATGTATTTTATTCATGTGATTTCATGTTCTGTGTCTGGGGTTTTCAATATGTAACTGTCCACTGGGGGGGAAAAAAAAAATAAGTGAAGAGGATTAATTTTCTCTGTGCTGTAATTCCTGCTCTACCAGCTGCTTTACATGGCTGTGATTAAAACTGAAATTGGAGGTGGAGACCAGTAGCACTGAAGCATAAGGATGTGAAAACATAAACCCAGTCCCTGGAAAATTGAAGGTGGTCAAGTATTTAATAGACTCCAGACTCCACAAAACAGCCTTTCAAAGACTCTTAGATGCCATCTCCACTCTCCACTGCCCTTAAACAAATACACAGCCTTTAGCAGCACGTGCTGGAGCAGAAAGCAGGAAAATGTTATTTCTGCTGGAGCAGAAAGCTGGATGTGAATGTTATTTCAGAGCCCTGCAGGAGCAGGGAGTTCATTAGGTGATGGTGCCCAGAGGAATCTGAAAAGGTCTTTTTTATTAATAAAAGAAGCTTCCTCCACATTTCTAGGAATTCACAGTGAGGTGGTAACATCAGAGGGAGAGATTTATTCCTGCTCCCAGGCAGAGTCTCCTTGATGCCTCACAGCCAGTGGAGGGCCTAGGGCTGCTCTGCTCTTTTGGGAAAGGCCTGGATTTAAGAGGTGGCAGCTCTCATGGGGGGAGTTGATGTAGAACAGATCAACCTGTCCTAACCCCTGGCTCTGTGTTCCAGCTGTGCCTGTCCTTTTCAAACAAGCCCTGGAGAACACGGATATGGAAGAAGGGAAATCCGTCTCCTTGCGCTGTGAACTCACAAAAGCCGATGCCACCGTGGTGTGGAAGAAGGGAGAAGCCACGCTCCAGGCAAGTGCCAAATATGAAATGAAGCAGAAGGGAACAGTGGCAGAGCTGGTGATTCATAATGCAGAGCCAGAAGATGCGGGAAGATACACCTGTGACACTGGAGACCAGCAGACCACAGCCCAAGTCAAAATCCATGGTAGGAATGAGACACCTGCTTGTGACCATTTGTTGTTGTTCTTGCTGTTGTCCCCTGGACGCTTTCAGAGAGTGTTCAGGAGAACAGGGATCAGCACAAACACAAGGCAGCTCTGGGTTCATCATGTTCTTCGTTTTCTGGGATGATAATTTCATGCTAAAATATATCAATCAAAGGCACCTGATAAAGTAATTTATTTTTTTTCCTATTAAATGTCTCTTGTGCTTTGGATAGAGGTGACTGTCCAAGCTCTAAGATGTAAGAAGGGTCTCAGCTACACCTTTTACTAAAGAATATTCCATTATTCTCTCCACTTTCTCAACAAGTTTTTGCATGTCTGTGACCAGCAACTTTGGGCAGCAGAAGGGTAATTATTTTGATGTTCTAATTATTGGGAAATAATTGTTCTTTTTTTCATTTGGTCCAAAACTCTTGTTGCTGCTGTAAATATCAGCAGGCTCCTGGAGGTGCAGGTAGGTCAGAGCTTCTTTGCTGTGTGTGCCAAGAGGATTTGAATTTGTTTTGGCTTTAAGCCCTGTGTGAGGTCACCAGGTGGTGACGATGCGCCTGAAGTAAATTGAGAATGCTTCACTCCTCAGCAGTGTCCGTGCTCTTCAAGGAAGAGCTGAAGCCTGTGGAAGCTGTGGAAGGTGGGACAGCCACCCTGCGGTGCCAGCTGGGCACAGAGGCCCCTGTGGAGTGGAGGAAGGGGCAAACTCTTCTCCGGGCGAGTAGCAAGTACAAGATGAGGCAGGAGGGCACCATGGCTGAGCTGCTGATCCATGACCTGGAGCCAAAGGATGCTGGAGACTATTCATGTCTAGTGGGGAACCAAAAAACCACAGCAGCCTTGTCAGTGAATGGTAAAAAGGCAGAAATAACCTGTGAAACTCTGGAATGTTTTTGTCCACCTCTTCCCTCCCCCTCTCTGTACGTTCCCTCACAACAGCTTCCTTCATGTCCTGCTTCCACTGCTTTCTTCTATCCACTTTCTCATGTCACTCCTGTCCCCAGTCCCCATTTCATCATACCCCATGTTGGATGTGTGTGTGTGTTCTCACCTTCCCCCAAGTGAAGGATGTGATCCTGCACGTGTGCTTTCCTGAATTACCATGGAATCCTAAGATTCTTTGGGATTTTCTGTTTCAGAGGGTTCATCATGTGTAATGATGAGAATGAGTTTGTCTCCCTTGATGCATGATCTCAGCCAAGATCATGGTTTTGTTGACTCCCACAGAACAATTTGCTAAAGAATTTCTTTTACCATCCAACAAAAAAAGACAGGGTGCATTTAAGGATAAGGGTGTTGGAGTAAGGCTTGGGTAGACACACAATTGATCACGATTCAGCCTCTGAGTGGGGTCTAGGGTGGCAATCCATTTCCATTCTGCATCTCTCAGCCCTGCCAGTCCGTTTCAAGCAAGAGCTGAGGAACGAGGAGGCCACGGAGAGCGGGACAGCGACGCTGCAGTGCGAGCTGAGCCGGCCAGGAGGCTCCATCCAGTGGAGGAAGGATGGGAAGGTGCTGATCCCAAATGGGAAATACAAAATGAGACGGGAAGGGCGCTTTGTTGAGCTGGTTATCCAAGACCTGGACCTGATGGATGCTGGGAGCTACACCTGCGTGTGTGGAGAGCAGGAGAGCACAGCTGCTTTGAGAGTGAATGGTAACCCTCCTACCCACATTTCTCTTTAAACCCCAAATGTAGCAGTTTTGGCAGCATTTCCTGGTCAGCCAGAGCTTGCTCAGTGGGATTTCTTAAGGGTTTCATGTTCTCACTCTATTGGAGAATATTCCTTTGTGCCTTTTTACCTTGAGGCAGCACCTGTATGTTATCTATTGTTTAATTTATTTCTCTCACCTCTAGGAGGTTTTACCCCCTTTTTCAGTTGTACCCACCTAGAAAAAGAGAATTTTTGGTTGAGTGTACACACTGCAGCCCAGTAACTCCAGTTCATTTCATTCCTTCTCTGTTGGTATTGCATCCTTCAGCCTTGCCAATCCTCTTCCAAGAAGAATTGATGAACAAGGAAGCTGCAGAGGGGGAGGCAGTCACTCTGCACTGCAAATTGAGCAAATCAGCCCCAGTTGAGTGGAAAAAGGGGAATATGGTGCTCAAGCCAAGTGAAAAGTACAAAATAGAGCAGGAAGGTCCCATTGTGGAGCTGACAATCCAGGATTTGGATTTGGGAGACGCTGGGGATTACAGCTGTGTGTGTGGAGACCGACAGACTACAGCTGCTCTGGCAGTAAATGGTAAAAAAGAAATTCTCAGCGTGTGTTCCAAGTCAACCTGTGCAATTCCAAGATCTCTTCCTCTCTTACTTCTGCTTCCTCTGATCCCTGTGTACTTCCAATCCTCCTTTCTGCTGATTAATTTTCCTATCCTTTCTTCCCTCTCTCTTTTTCTCCTTTCACCTGATGCCCTCTTGAAGTGCTTCCAAGGTGCTTTAGTCAAAAGACAAGTGGAGAACAGGTTCCCAACTCAACACAACCTCCCTAGTCCAGAATAGCTTCTTGTTTAGAAGTTTTCCCATAGGAACTGACCTAAAAGTGGGAATAATATTTATTTTTTTGTGATTTAGCCTGTGGCACTTGTTGCTTCCAAGAGGAACAAGTTTTCATCCATGTATGCTACACAAGGACAATCTTAATAAAAAATAGGCTTTTTATGCTCCTGCTATTCCCAGCTCTTTTTTTATCAATTTTGGCTTAATAATTCCCAAGCAAGTATTTTATTTCTGCAAAAAACTGACAGCATGTTTGCAACTGCTCTGCTTTAAGGGACTCTTATTTATAAAAATTCAGACAGTGCCATGGATCAGGCCCTTCTGTAGAACTCCTGCTTTCCTCAAGGGAAACAAAATGCTCTGGGTCTCATACTGAAATACAATCTCTAATTTTGTGTCTTTGATTTTGTGGTGTGTAAAGTAAAGGGTGGTTGGCTTGTCAACTGATTTACAGATTGACTCGATTTTACAGAAAGTTTTAAAGTGTGAGGACAGGAAAAAAAAAAATTAGACTGAATGATCTTCTGAAGGGTTAGAGGCTGGAATAAAATTTGAGGAGGAACTAAATCCAGGAAGAGACCAAGAAGGTCTGGTGGCTCCAGGGAGATAAGAGAGGGATTAAGTCATGGATTCAGGCTTTCCTAGGGTTGATGCCATGTCCGTGTTTGCTCTGCAGTCCTGCCTGCTCTTTTCACCAAGGGACTCATGGACAAAGAAGCCACCGAGGGTAAAAGTGTCTCCCTGCACTGCGAGCTGAACAAGGCTGCTGCTAACGTGGAGTGGAGGAAGGGGCTCAAGACCCTCAAGCCAAGTGACAAATACAAAATGAAGCGGGAAGGTGTCGTGGCTGAGCTTATAATCCAAAATCTAGGCACGGCGGATGCTGGGAATTATTCCTGTGTGTGTGGAGACCAGCAGACCATGGCAGTTTTAACAGTTCATGGTAAAACAAACAAAACTAGGCACATCCTGAAAGTAACTCCCCTGATTTCTCTCTTCCTTTGGAGAGACCCTTGGATTCACTCCCATCTCCTTCTCCAGCCAGACTTTTATCCACAGCTCACTGATGCCACTGAAATGTGTCCATTGGCATCAGTGCAGCTGGAATTTGTGGCACGAGAGGGGTATCGGTGTCCAAGCTCAGAGTAAGGCAGCCAGGGTTGCTGCCACTCTTTTAATTAGGGGCCATCGTTTTGCTTTCCCCTTGAAAGGTCCTTTATTAGACTTCCCATTATGCTCAAGACAAAAATGGGTTTGCTTCAAAGGGATTATGTCTGAGGGATTTTAATCCCAAAAGGTTAGGTTATTCCACAGAATTTTATGCCCATATTCCATTCCTGAGACAACAAAGTGCTTTTATACTTACAGCCCAGTTGTCATGGAATTCAGTTGATGTTCTGTGTAAAGCCCAGAATTTCGAAAGGACAACCATTCTCAATATAAAATGTCTCTTTGTTTGCTTAAGTATGTGGAAACACAGGAAACAACCTTCTGTTGTGGTTTATAATGTCACAAAAGAAAACCATTTTCTTTCCAGAAATTTCAAATTGGTGTTTTGTTCTTTGTGATTGAAATTTCACAGGGAAAAAAAATGGTGTTTCAATCTATTTGCATTGATTTGTGACTCTAAGTACGTGTAAAATACCTCTATGCTTTACTGCAAGCCTTAAATCCTCTCCTGGTGATGATTAAATCCTCTCCTGGTGATGACATTTCTTTCCCAACGCTGATTCATGGAGACCCATGAGAATCTCTGTTCTTGTGTTGATAAATCAGTTCAAGATAAGAGGGAGAAGGAAACTTAAACCTAATTTTAACTCTTTGGAGCACTACATCTCACTGCTGATATTGCTGTCCTTCAGCTTTGCCTGCATTTTTCAAGGAAGGGTTGAAGAACAGGGAAGCCACGGACGGTTCAACAGCCACTCTGCGCTGCGAGCTGAGCAAGGTCGGCGTCCCAGTGGAGTGGAAAAAAGGGGAAAAGGCACTCAAACCAAGTGAAAAGTACAGGATGAGACAGGAAGATACAGCTGCAGAGCTGCTGATCCGAGATCTGGAGGTGGAAGATACGGGAGAATACACCTGTGTGTGTGGAGATCAGAAGACCTCGGCTGTCTTGACAGTCCATGGTAAAAAAGCCGCTCTCCCTTGGGATAAAAGTACCTCAAGGACATCCCTTTTCTCTCTCTCTCCTTCCCACTTGCTTTGGTGTTTTGATTCTGCAGCATTTTCTTGGCTTGCTGGTGCTGTTTCTTCTCCCAGTTTGAAACTGATGGCCTTATATCAGAGTAAAGAAAAGCTGTGAGAATTTCTCATCTCAAAGATCAGGAGTGAGCAGACCTCCAGCAGAAGATCATTCTCAGGGGGTTTCTCTTTGTGCCTCCCTGGCATCAGTGGATTTTCATTCTTAACCTGAAGGAAAGTTCTTTAAATCTGCTGATCTCAGTCAGTGAGAGGTTTTTCCATTCAGGAATGAGTGACCACCCTCC